CACACACACACACACACACACACACACACACACACCTTTATTACAACTCCCTTCATAAATATTCATAAATTTATCTGTGAATCAAGGTTTGATTCCAGTGATCGATATACACAACTTATTATGTTAATAAGTTTATGTTATTATGTTAATAAGTTTATTATCTATGTATTTTGGACAATAATAGCACTTTTTTCTTAACATTGAACAAATTTCCTTGAAAAAAATGTAAATGTAATCTTTTTTTTTAATAAAATCATTTCAAAATGTACAAACTAACTATCAGGGCAAAAATATTTACACTGATTGAAATGACAGATTCTGATGTTGAAACTGGTTTTCTTTTAGTTTTCAAAGAGGTTTTACATCCCAATAAAAAGCTTTAGCTCTGAAGAAGTTTCTGTGAAACATCTTTGGAAACCAAAAGAGGAAGTGTACTTGACTTTAGTCAAACACTTCAAATGGAATTACAGTATTTACGAGCAGCTGACAAAGCAAAAAGAAATGGAAAAACTCCATTGACAGACCGACAGACAGAAACAATGATTTCTCTCATTTTTATGTCTCACTTCTATTCGTGAACCTTGACACAGTTTCTCTGTCCTTTTTGTAATAACCTCAGTGAGATTACCTGTGCTCGTTCCAGTAAGGTAAATGTCACAAAGGCTGCACCAACAGAAAGTGATGGAACCATTTCCGACTTATGAAACATTTAGCCACATTTGTCACAAGTTAATGTTACAGTTACTAAATGTCAAATCTGGACACAACCAGTTTTAAGGATGGAAAGCAAAAGCTAGCCAAGTATCTCTTCAACAAAGCACTCCAAGGTCATTGGACCAGTAATAATGAATGTATTTTGTCCTTAGACATTAGCCTCTTTTACAAGACAGTTCTGTGAAATCACCTCACAGACCAGTCTGGCTTTAAGCTCCTTTGGGTCACTCATTCAGTTTTCTAACAACAATTTAGAGTTTCTGACCTGGTTTTGTGTCAGTGGAGGGTCATGTTTGTAGGCGAGGCCAGCTTTGATGAGTGCTGTCAGTGCCTCGGCTCCCCACTCTCTCATTCTGGAGTTTGGATGCTGGCAGACCTACAGAGGACACCAAGCAACAGCACATACGTACATTTAACATCAGATTTTATGTAGTTTGTACAGTAAAGACAGAAGACCCTCTGCGACAACAGATCATCACGGACACAAATGAACCATCGAGGTGAAGCTGAGCAAAGCAGGCTGATTAACAAAATGCTGAAATCTTATAAAGAGTTGGGAAACAAGGAAGCATTTATTATTGTAGCAATATTGCTTCAGAACCCAGACGGTCCACGTGTATCATTTTCAATCAAACTGAAGCCTACTGTTTTACCCACAAACTGCATTTGAGTGATTTTTTTTTTCGATTAGGCACTGGTTTAAAATAAAGTTCACAAAGAAAGATAACAATTGTATCAAACCAAACTTTGCAGGTGAAGCTTTAGATTTGGCTTCTGTGAAATCAAAACGTGAAAAGCTGCACATAATGAAACAATGAACACTGATAGCAGACAAAAACACTACGAACACATTGAGCACAGCGACATCTCAAATCCAACGCATTTGTGTCGGAGTGAGAGGAAAACAAACTGAAATGAGGAGAAAGATGGAAAAGTCGGTGTTTGTAGAATCTCAGCTTACCTTCTGCAAAACAGACAGGTGTGCAAAGGAGAGAGGAGATAAAGAAAATGTGAAGAAAACCTTCAAAATACCATGAGAGATTTATAAAAAGAGAATTTTCTAAAGAACGTAATGTAATTTCAGTATAAGTTAAAGTAAGTTAATAAACAGGTGACAATATTTCACCTCAAACTTAACTGGAGTTTTATAGAAGACTTATGATTACAGATTGTATTTTAGGCAGGACATCACGTTATGAAATCCCGGACGAGCCCCCAGTTTATATCACGACCAGGCTCATTATACTGCAACATAAAACTGACTGAATATGATGTTTAAAATATGTTATTTTTATTATTAAAAACAACCCACTCCAACTTGTGTACAATGCAAAATGAGGAACAGAGGACACAAGTCTCAAGCTTATGTCTTATAAGTCTTTTCTGGACACAGTCACCAAGCAAATAGACTCTCCACACCCACACCAGGATCTTACTCATGGACTTCTCACTGACCTGCAAATACTTTGAACACTAAAGCTGGAAACATACTCCCTCCGAGCTGCCAACGTCGGCACGGGTAGTCGCAGTTTCATGACGAAAATTATGCCACCGGTGTTCGCAGCGTCCGCTCGGCAGCCCCTTTTGGCACAACCCGCCGGCAGAAATTTTTACCCCACTCCTGCGACGACGGTAATGTGTGATTGGTTGGAAGTTCGTGGCCGTGTTTGTTTGTGCTGAAACTGAAAGCGCTCGGACACTGAAAAGAAAATAATAACTCGCTTGTAGAGCAGACTGTTGAAGCAGAGTTTTATAAAAATAGTCAAACTGAGAAAAACTCGTGGCGTGTTTGTTTGTGCTGAAAGCACTATGAGCTGCATTTACTTCAACCACTCGGTAAAAAAAAAAGGAAAAAAAAAATATGTCTCACTCCCAGAGCCGACTGTTACCAGGAAGCAGAGTTTTATAAAGATAGTCAAATCATGAAAAACTCATGAATGGAGATTAAACAGACGTGCACGTAGGAATCTGACTGATAAAAACTATGAAGCTTTAACCAGGACAGATGTGGATTAATACGTCGGGTGAGTGACGAGTCTGACTTTTTTTTTTTTGCATTGTCGGCTGTTGCGGGGAGAAACTCCATGCAGTGACGTATGCTGCAGCGGGAGGGGGGTTTCCCGAGCTCAGCGCGGGGTGTTTCAGTGACTATGAAATGTGTGTGCGAAAACAACTGCCGAACAACCACGTGACCGCGCGTCAACCCGTCGGCATCGGAGGGAGTATGTTTCCAGCTTAACACTTTGTTGCATCACTTTTCTCAATATAAGGCTCACCCCACACTGGTTTTATGGATAAAAAGCTAATTTCCCTCTGGGATCAATAAAGTATTTTTGAATTTGAATCGAAAAGGTGGACCACAGCTTATCTTTTGATTTAGGGATGTGAGTTATCTATTAATGAATAATCTAAAGTTGACTGATGCCTATCAACACAACTTAAAAACTGATTTAAAGTTTAAAATTTCTACTATTGACTCAAACTGAAAGAGAGTCGCAAGGAGGGAGTATCTTTCCAGTCCATCTAAGCAGACATTAATCAAATGGAAGACATTTTAATCTAACAAACCATTATTTGACAATCAGTTGTATGTCGATTATTGTTTTGTATTCCTATTTTAAATCAAGGACAATGAAGAGCTGTACTCTGTTTTTTTCTCCTTACAACAATGGTATTACTGCAGCAGTGAAGTTAGGACAGTTTTCAAATACATCTATGACATGGCCCTACTAGCCCATCTGACTGACTCCTAAGGCCTTGAGTAGGTACTAGAAGAAAGTTCACACCCCAGTCCAAACTTTTTGGTGAAGCGTGTTAGAGTGTAACATTTCAAAGATGGAAGAGTCTAAAAGAGAAAACCCAGAGGATTTGTTCCAGTAACACAGCATCCAGGGTCAGCAGGTGGAACCTGTAGAGTTCTCTGAACAACTCTTATCTCATCTCACATTTTCTACCTATAAATAAATTACAACCACAATAATTGTTTTCTAGTGTTTATTATCAATGATATGCAGAACTAACCTCCAACAGGTGACCTGTCAAGGGTCTCCACAGGACCTCAATACGATCCATGTTCACCAGGCCCGTTTCCAGCAGCTTAGCAACCGCAAACAGAGATGGTTCCTGAACAATAACCAGAAAAAAATATTTGTAGCCTGAATAAAAATACTGGAAAAATTGTATTCAAATGCACATTTCTGACATTTAATCAATATCACACATAAAAACACATATGAAAAATACATCAATGAAAGAAAAGAAGATGCCACCTTATTGTTTCCATAAGCCATTTCCATTGCCTCCAATGAGAGTGAACAGAGTGCATTGATCAAATGATGCAGAGAAACGTCATCCAGGTACCTAAATCACACAAACAGTAAACAATACAGAATATAAACATATATTTTACTTCAATAAGTTAGGTTTTCCGTGGGCTTCTTTGGGAAACAATTTTTAACCTGTGTTGTAGACAGCTTTTTGACAGAATTCAGTTTGTAGAAACAGAGTATATTTCTGATTAAATTGATGAGCTAACAGCTAGTCAGAGTGGGGCCCAGGGCTGCACCTAATGCATATTTTGATAGTCAGTGTCAGTAATTTTTTTTGATTGATTAATCATGAGCCATGTTTCCATCCAATTCTAATTCGAACTTTGAGCAAATTTTTAAAATTTCGCAAAAAGAAAAAGATGAAGAAATGTGAATCAGACGTGTTTCCATCAACTGGCTCGAAGCCAATCAGTTATGTCAGACGCATGCGTGTAGTAAACAGGAAGTAAAAGTCGCATCTCAGGAAAATGGAGAGAAGTTATCAGGAACGTGTTGCTACTATCGGGAAAGTAGTACTTTTTCTGTCATTTCAAGTAGTTTTGGCGATTTTACATGCTGTCTGGAGACGTAGAGAAAGAAATGCAATTCTTTTCACCTTACGAGAATAACTGAGAATATGCTGACAGCAGGAGGAGGGTCCAGCTGCAGTCGCTCTGGTACCGGTACCGGTTTCGGACAGACAGCGAGAACAGCTGATCAAAATGCGAGGTAAATGTTCGTTACGTCAGAACTTATTCGACAAATGTGTTTCCATCTCTCCTTTTGCACATTAACTCTTTTTCGAAAAAAAAAACCCCACCTCAAGCGAGCTTATCAACTCTTATGTGAATTAGAGGAAGTTTTTTCAAATCGTGCCATTTCCATTCACCTTTTCTGATGCCATACTTCAAAATGCGCATTAAAAAACATTGATGGAAACATGGCTACGGTTATTTCTGTCACAACGTCCATCTATGCATCCTGTGGGAGCCCCTCCTGGTCCTGTTGTAATGTGCAAATAACTCACAATAGCAGCCTCTCCCCCAGAATGAGGAGCTGTTAACGTGCCTTGCTGAGTTTAGACGTAGCTTTGAAAGTCCAAAATGAACTTAAGGAATCACTTTGGTTAAGGTGACATTCAAGTGCAAACAATAAAAAATTTATCCATCCTGTTTGAAATCTTGCTGGATCTGGCAGTCCAAAAGCATTAATATAATTCAGTGATTTAATATGATGACACTTAATGCTTAACTGCGCTTCCAACACTCTTTTCTGAAAATAAGATCTATGAGGCATCAACCTGACAAACAAGTTAACTTTCTGAAACTTACCCACCAGGAGAGGATAATCTTGATTCCAGTTTGAAGGAACGATGTACGTCAATTCAGGGAATAAGATTATGGAATAAATTGGAAAGTGCTGTTAAAAATACCAGATCAATGTTTCTGTTTAAGAAAATGATTAAAATTGATTTAATGAAAAAAATATGAAAAAGAATAATATGTACCCATAATTTGTTTGATGAGGATTATTG